TTCTGGCAGGGGCTCACGGCAAAGCCCCTGCGTGCCCGACCCCGTGGCTAGATCAGTGTTGTCACACAGATCGAGACTGGGCTTGCCCTGGGTCATGCAACACGTCTGCACCGGAGCGAGGGTCAAACCCAGGTGTCCCAACCTCGAGGCTAACCCCGAGTGCTGGACACCTCTTCGGTGTGTCCCCATGCTCTGCAAAGCAAAGTGCGTCCCCAGCGTCAGGTTTTGCTGAGGTTGAAAGTCTCCCCCTGCCTCAACTTCCAAGCCTTGGGGCTTCCCAGCTCTGGGAGGGATTTTGGAAAGGTCAGCCGGCTGCACCGGGAGAGGTGGCCAGACCTGAGCGTGAGGGTCCGGAAGGGCATGAGAGTCCTGGGGGAGGTGTTACCGAGCGAGATGTCTGTGGGAGCCAGGAGAAAGGAATTGGGAGAACAGGAGCATGGCCGGGCTGGGCTGGGCCGGGAAGGAGGAAGACAGGGCTGCCTGAACGTGAGGGGGGTTATCTGGTGACAGCGTTTCCGGACGATGAGTAAGTGAGCAGCAGCCCGTGGCTCGAGCTTCTGGGCCGTGCAGCTCCCGCGGAAAGCAGCGGTTTGTGCAGCTAACGCCCGTGACAAGGCTGGGCCGGGCCTTTTGGTGGCACACGTGGGACGTGCAAGGCATCCGAGTCCTGCTCAGTGCCCGCGGGGTGTGCGCGGGCAGCCCTCACCAGGGCCGGTCTGAGGATGGGAGCTGGCGGGGCTGAGCCATGGAGCCAGGTCTGCTCCGCGGTCATTCAGCGAGTCACGGGGAGCAGCGACGAGGCGCAATCCCGCGGTGCCGCAGCTGCTCTCTAATGCATCTTCACTTCAGATTTGTGTGGAAGAAAGCGTCTTGCTCGCGACAGAAAACTCAGGAATGCACAGATTGCTGATCTCTGCACTTCCTAGGCAACTCTATCCGGCTTTAAGGGAAAGCAAGCAATTGTCAAGCATTGTCATTAAAAACAAACAGCTGAATACTTTTCAAGGTTTTGAAATCCCACCTTGTTTTCTGGAAGGAAGGAGAATTGCAAGGGACTTCCCATTGCCGGGGGGATTCTTCTTGCCGGGGACGGGAGCTTTGTACGCTTTGAACCCAGGCCTTCGGAGACGAGCGCATTAAGCGGTCACGTTACCGAGACCTTTAAAGCATGCGGGCTCGGTCCTCGCCGCACCCCGTCCCCGGTCATTTGTTCTGTGGTACCTGCTGAAGGAGCTTCTGCCCTTTCTCCACAGCCCTTTATCTTCCAAACACCATTTATCGCAGGTAAATGGATTTTTCTGTAGAGCTCGCAGCTTGTCAAGGAAAAAACCTCCTTTATTTAATCATAAAAGCATGTTCTTGTTGATGAACAACAGGCGGGATGATCACCGTGCCGTGGAATATCGGTTGTCACTGGGTTTTGTGAACAGGTTACATGTAGCCTTTTCAACTAAAAATATGCCATCCATTAAAAGTCCTCTTCTTGTGAGCAGGCTTCGGTCTACCACAGGCAGGATACTGCCTGGCATGAAGGACTGCGGTGCTCTCCTACCAACAAGTCTGTGAACTAAATCATGCAGAGGAGAGCGCCGGAGCCCAGTTCAGACCCGCTCTGCTCCGTTTACACTGCCTGGCGTTTCCGTGCCCATCCCCACACATCAGGGCTGCCAGTCCCGTCCTCGCTTTGCACAGCTTGCATTCCCCTCGAGCCGGGCAGAGGTGCTTGGGGAAGGAGGGCTGTGAAGGAGGGAGTTAACCCCTGGGCTGAGCGACCTGGAGAGGAGCATTGTGTTGTGATCAAGCGAAGGGTTTCTGGTCGATCTGAAAGGGAACGCCGTGTTTGTGCACTCGTCCAACCCCCGGCTCACATCTCTGGGTTTGGTCTGACCAGACCCCGGCTCTTCCGCTGGGGTTTCAGTTCAGTGCCTGAACCGAGCAGCCCATTTTCCTCCAAGCTGGAGTCAGAAACACCGCCCGGCCTGTTGTACAGCACAGATGCAGGTAGGAGCATCCGGGCATGGTCCCGCCTTGCCAAGGCCTCTGTGGGTATTTGCAGCCACGCCGGGGACTGCATCGTTTGGAGCGGGTTCCAGGTGCATTGGCGGGGCTGGAAGATGCATGGGTGCAGCTGGGTGCTGTAGGCTGAGCCGGGTGCTTTGGCCAAGCTGAGGATGTGGGAAGCTTGCAGAGACTCAGCCTGCCCGTTTCCTCCTCTCTCCGGAGACCTAAATCTGAGCGCAGCCCCTCAGAAGCAAACCCAGGCCATTCCCCCAGCACGCTGGGCCCGGAGACCATAAAGCTCTTTCTCATCTGACTTCTATTCCCTTCGCGATCGGCAGCTGCTGGTTTATTGCAGCCCTTTCAGCGGAACGACGATATTATCCAGCTCCGTGGCACGGCATTTGTCTTCCCTCTATTAAAAGCGGCAAGCGCAATGGCCTTGCAAGTCGCTCCCTGCAACCTGAATATGTTCTCTGTGGAGGTGCTCAGGGCGTGCCATGCTCGCTCCTCGTACCCCGGTGCACGCGTGGTGCTGAGTCCGGTGCACGCTGCACACTGTTGCATGGGCTTCGTGTGCTCAAGGTGACTTCTCCAGAGGGGCGGAGAGCCATCCGCTGAGCAGGAGTCGGAGCCCTGCCTGAAAACACGCTGGGGGCCAGCCAGGCAGGTGGTAGGAGCCGGCTCTGCCCAAGGGACGGCTGGCCGGAGGCCTGCTGCATGGCTCTGCGGGAGCCGTGGCATGCTCCTGGACCCCCTTTCTGCCAGCCTCAGAGCTTCAACCGCTGTGAGTCAGGCCGGGCTTAAATCAAGTGCACTTGTGGCTCCTTCTTACTTGCCGTCCTGCTCGGAGCCCATTTGAGTTGCATTTGCCAGCCCGTCTCTGCCGCCCCCAGGGCCAGGGACTTCCTTTTAACCACTGCAAAAGGGACTTGGATCCCAGGAGATCCCAGGAAACTCCATCCTCTCCTGCAGCCCGAGCTGCAAGGTTGCAAGATCTGGCAGCGCTGGCATGTCCGTGCAGGAGCTAGGCAATGTTCCCTGATGCCCCCAGGCAGAAGGGGGCTGCCCCCAAATCCTACCCCCTGGCCCACACTGCTGGAGCCGTCGCAGGGAGAACGAAGAAACTGCAAAACCTCGTCTGCTTCTTGCTAACGCTGCTGCTGACTTCCTGGCCCGAGCGGGCCCGTCTGCTTTGCTGCCCTTTCCAGTTACTTTCACTCCTTGGCTAGAGTGGCTCCAAGCCTTGAATTCAACCCCCGGGGGTGGACGATGGGGGACACGTAAATACAAAGAGCTGGTCTGAGTACCGCTGCGGGTCTCTGCCCCTGTATCTGGTGGGAAAACTTGAGCCAAGCCATCCCCAGGATGTCTGTGGTGCCCCTCCCCCCCGACGAGGGAGCATCTGCCCCCTCCACTGCCACCGTGCACCTCCGTTACCGCGCTGCGCTCGTGGCTGGGGGGGCCGCAGCAGCTGGGCCGTGCGACCCGAGCCAGGGGAAGAGGCCGGGGGGG